ATAGGTCCACGCTCAACCACTGAGCCATACCAGCCAGGCTGTTCAATTCTTTTGTCTATTTTTATTATCTTCCCATGAACTTGTAAGAGTTCTTTACATATTCTGAATACAAGTCCTGTGTCATACATACACCCATAAAATGAATGTTTTCTCTCAGTCTGTGGCTTGCAGTTTCATTTTTTAACAGTGTCTTTTGAAGAACAGAAGTTTAAACTTCTGATGAAGTTGTATTTATAAATTGTTTTGATTATGCATGCTTTTTTTTTTTTGTATCCTAAGAAATCTTATAAATTGTTTTGATTATGCATGCTTTTTTTTTTTTTTTTTGTATCCTAAGAAATTTTTGCCTATCCCTAGGCCACAAAGATGTTCTCTTGTTTTCTAGAAGTTTCAGAGTTAGTTTTTGTGTATGGTGTGAGGTAGGGGTCACAGTTCATTTTTTCGTCTGTACAGATATGTTCCAGTGCCAGCTTCCTTTCTTCATTGAAGCATATTGGCACCTTGGCAAGAATCAATTGATTGTATGTATGTGATCTATTTTTGGACTTGATTCTGTTTCATTGACCTACATGTCTATCCTGATGCTAATACCACACTGTTTTGGTTCCTGCAGATTTATAGTCATTCTTGAAATCAGATAGGATTTAGTGCTGTAACTTTGTTCCTATTTTTCAAAATTGCTTTCGCTGTTCTAGTTTTTAAAAAAAATTGTATTTCCATATACATTTTAGAATCTACTTGATCATTTATACAAAAGAAAATAAAAACCTCCTGGAATTTTCATCAGGATAGATTCACCATGGGGTGGGGAGAGATTACATTTTATGTTGAGGAAGTTCCCTTCTGTTCTCACACTGCTCAAGTTAGTTTGTCTTTTAAAACCATGAATAGGTAACAACGAAGATTTTTTTTTTAAATCACGAATAGGTGTTAATTTTATTAAATATTTTCCCACATCAATTGACATGACATGACTATGAAGTGAACCCAGATATATTCTTTAAAAAAAATTGAGGTGAGATTCACATAACATACAGTTAACTCATTTTAAAGTGAACAAGTCAGTGGTATTGCACAACTATCACCTCTATCCTGTCCCAGAACATCTGCATTACCCCCAAAATGAAACTCTTCATCCATAAAACAGTTACTTCCATTCCCCCTCTTTACAGTCCCTGGCAACCCTCAGTTTGTGTTGTTTCTATGGATTTGCCTATTCTGCACACTTCATAGAAATAGAATCATATAATATGTGACCTTTTCTATCTGGCTTCTTTCACTTAGCATAACATTTTTGAGGTTGATCACATTGTAGCCCATGTCAATACTTCATTCCTTTAAATGGCTGTATAATATTCCATTGTGTGGACATACCACATTTTTAAGCGGATATCTTCATAACAACTATTCTATGCCATCTCCCCATGTACTGGGTGCTCTTTAGCTCTACAGATACAGCAGGGAACAGAGGAGAAGTGCCCTTGCCCAAGTGGAGCTTAAGTCTCCTCTGAACTCAGGAGCTTCTGTGGCAATTATGTTTGTCCAGTTCTGACCCAGGGGCCCTGTGTATTCCTGCTAATTTGTCTCCATTGCGCCAGTGTCTAGCCCAGTGCTCTCAGCTGACTAGATGAGCTTTAGCCTGGGAAGTCTTCCTAGGAGCAGCTTTTGAATAGAGACTTAGGATTTGAGAAGTTGCATGGTTTCCTTCAGCCCACAGTGACTAATAGCAACAGCCATTAAGCACCTACTATGTGCCATACACTGCAATGAGCACACTGCGTTCCCCAGGGCAGCCAGGAGTGAGAGGCAGCGGGGAGTTTGGATTGGAATGCAGACCCACACCGTTAACGATGGCCGTCCACTGCCTTTCCAAGTCTAGTTCCAGCGGGCTCTGTCTCCTCTGTATTCTGTCTTCCTTCTTCTGGGAACATCTGAACAGGACGAGAGAGGGACAGAATGATGGGCCAGGCCTTGGCTCGGGACACACCGAGTGTTGAGAAGGACTCTTCAGCTCTTACCCTTCTGGGTCCTTTCAGCCCAGCTGAGACCTGGGCCTCTGGAGGTAGCACCTTCAGAGCACCCTTCCCTCCTCCAGCCCCCTCGCCCCTCCGGGCCTTGGGCTGTGCTGGGATCCGCGGAGAAAGGAGCAGGATTTCGGCTAAATATAAACCAGGCTGTTCCAGTTTCCAAATAGAACAAAGGAGCAGGGTGTTAAGTTGATTTTTATAAATAAAGAGAGAGGGAGTGAGAATATTTTTTCGAGATGTTTAATAAAATCGCCTTGTTAAAGGCAAGAAAACCATGGGCTGTGGTGGAGGGTGTGGAGGGAGGGGAGGGACGAGGGTGCCTCCTCCGCCTGCTGTGAAACTGCGGGTGTCCTTGTCTTCTTCCTGGGACCAGAGAGAGCGGTGGGCAGGGAGGGGCGAAGGCCAGGCAGGGCATGGGGGTGCCTGGCAGGGGAGGGGGCAGGAAGGCTCATCAGCGTCATACAGTTTCTGAGCACTGAGCACTTTCTGTATGCCAGGCCCTGTGCTGGATTTATGCCTCATCTCTCCAATGCCCACAGCGTATGAGGCTGGGGTTCCAGTCACTGGGTGCTCTGTGGTCTAGCCCCTGCCTCCCTCTCTCACCTCATCCCCTCCTTCCCTCCCTCCGCTCGCTCCGCTCCCACCACGCCAACTCTACTCCCAACTCATTCTCTCTTTCTTTTTTTAAATCCTCACCCGAGGATATTTTTCCATCGATTTTTAGAGAGTGGAAGAGAGAAGGAAAGACAGAGAGAAACATCGATGTGAGAGAAACACATCCATTGGTTGCCTCCTGCACGAGCCCCGACCAGGGCCCGGACCAGGGAGGAGCCTGCAACCGAGGTACGTGCCCTTGACTGGAATCGAACTCCGGACCCTTTGGTCCCCAGGCCAAGGCTCTATCCACGGAGCCAAACCAGCAAACTCATTCTCTCCCCAAGGCCTATATGCAGGCTTATCATTGAGGTCTCAGAGTCACCGTCCCTTTCTCCCTGACCACTGCTTCTAGAAGAG